TTTTCAAAATTAGGTAATGTTAGAAAAACATAGATGACGTATGCCACAAGGAAATCACTAGCAAATATAATGCCATGTTTGCTACAATCAATCGGCCAGTTCAGCACACTGCTGTTGTCTGTGTCCATTTTTATTTTTGTTTTTTCTTTTAGTTTTGTTTTATTTTCACTTTTTCACCGACGCTGTTCATCCTTCGGGAACCCCTGGTTGCTGGAGCAGGTCTCCGGCAGGGATGGTTCAGTTTACGGTAACATAGAGTCTAAAATAGTCAAACCACAGCTTCTGGGCAGTGAGGGTCTGTTCCAGCAGGCCTGGAGTTACCCTAAACTGTTTGGCTCAAGCTCTTGCATGGCACTGATCCATAGTCAAAGTACGGAATGTGTTGATTCATAGCATTGCTTTGTTGGTGACCGTGGGTCCAAGGAGCTCGGGGGCCAGTTGTCTTAGCTCATCAGCATTGTTTATTGTTGACTGATACCGGTAAGATTAATGATTTGCACCTGGCCCAGGCTAGAATCTGGGAAGGCTCTGCGGTTGAGTGTGTCTACATAGCAGGAATCCACCTAAGTAACATATAAAACAACCTCAGCCAAGACTCCACTTGGGGTTCCCTGCTTCTAAGGTGCTCTGTGCCATATTGGTTGTCTCCCCTTTGCAAAGGAGCCCGTGCCTGATTTCACTGCCCCCCTTGCTGTAAATCTGTACATGGGATGCATACCCTTACTTTAATAGTGTTGTTATATTGTATCCTTTTCCTGAAATAAGCTGTAGATTTATAGCCATTGTCATTTGGGTCCTCTGAGTCTCCTTTAGAAATAGAAACTGTTTAACTGCCACTGTTAGTACAACCTCCAAATAGCACACATGGCAGCAGGAAATCAACGTGAAACCATCTGTCACTGTAGGCCAGAACTTTCTGGACCCTTATGGCTTCTTTACACTAAAGGCTCTAAATGCTAGTTTTGAAGTTGTTACTTACCAAAGTAATAACTACATGTGGTAGAATTCTGACCACAATGTCTGGCCTCATGGTCCAGAAGAGTAATGGGCACATCAAACCAGGGCTTACTTAACAGGAGACCATACCTATAATGACCCTTAAGAAAGATTTTCAGGATTGCATCCGGTCATGATTATGGGTGAATTGTTTTTAAAGTGAATAACAAAACCAGTAATAGTCTCAAAATGAATACAGTGGATCAATACGATCATTCATCACTATAAACTTTTTATTTTTACCCATTAAAAATAACAATGTAGCAAGAGCTATGTGACTCAGTTACTGTTGAAAACATATTGAGCTTTGAGAAAAAAAATGACTCAGGAGGAAGAAGAAGGGCTGTTGTCCCAGGCAGGGGGGGCTGGCTGGGATTGTTCTGGCACAGGCAGCCATGTTTATCGCCTACGAAAAATACGGCTTTATGCATTCTCATCGGAGCTTGTCTCAGTGTGTGTCCCTGCTCCAAGAATTTTTAATCCTCCTGGTGGAGTTCCTTGTCATAAAGCCCAGTCCTTTATATGTACTTCCTCTAGTCTTCCCCACCCCACTCAGATCCTTAGAAGAAAAAGTGGAAAGTATTTGTTCATTGATTTGAATCAGTGGTGCTAAGTTATTTGCATTAAATGAAATTATTAATACATATATATTGAATTAAACTTCTTTACCCTCATGTAAGAGATCTGCTTTTACTAACAGTTGAGAGTTAAAGAAATCAGGTGTATTTCTTAATTTTGGAAAATGTTACCCACTCCCGTCCTCTATGAGGCACTAGATGGGGTATCAGAAAATGGCATCTGGTAGGCAAGATGATGTTTGTCTTGGAATGAGAATTGTTCTTAAATGCCAAGATCAGCTCAGGAAATGGCAATTTCTATTCTTCTTTGTTTTCTTTCTTTCTTTCTTTGCCAAACCCATTTCCATTGACTGATTTCCTTACCTTCTTTTTCACCTTGAGGAAAGCCTCCTTCTATAAACCACGTGAGATTTGCTGTGGGAAATACATTCCTCAGGGAGCAGGTAAATGTTCTCTGGGGGTAAAAGCAGAACACAGAAAGGCTTATTTGAAAATTAGCAGCAAATGGTACCCCTTACATCCCGGCCAAGCGTCACATGGGGCAAATTGGCAGAAAACAGTTTTCTACACTTTCAACAAGGCTATGTTTACCTTTCAGAGCTTATGTGAAAAAGTGAGCTACAAATAGACTGTCTCCTATAGACATGTCATGAACTCATGGCTGGAAGCATAGGTCAACTTGGGAAGAATCTAGGACTAGACTAATATTGCAAGTCTGGACTCTGGGTTTTGGAAAAAGAAGATCACTGTTCTACCCAAGAAGAATAAAACAGTGCTAAATGGAAGCCAAAGACTAAAAAGGAAGAAGCTCTAACAGTCAGAGACCAGAAAAGAATATTCTGTTAGACTCTAAGCTAAAAGATATCCACATTTGGGTTGTTTCCATTCCCCAAATAATGTAAAGTACTATTTGTAGCAATAACCACAAAAACCATTATTGTGAATATCTCACTTTTGACTTGTAAAGAGTTTATGCAATTGACTTTTCATGTTATCATCTTAACAGTCCTCTAGGGTGGGGTAGGACACAACTTATCATTGCCATTTGACAGATGGGGGAACCAAGGCACAGAAATCATAGGATGGTTAAAGAGAGTGGAATGTAGTTGATGGCACAACTGGGAACTAAGTTACCCCATTTCCAGTCCAAGGTATTTTCTGGTAAAACACATTGTACTGAAATATGAGAGAAACAAAACAGGTAGCTTAGAGATAGGTTTAGTTATGTTTTATTTCCAACACCATATTTGCTCTTTGTGAGATGGTGTTTTTTTTCAACATCCTGGTGAAAATACCCAAAAGGAATTACTGGATCTCATTATTATTATTTTATCTGAGACATTATAAAATTGTATTTCGATTTTTTTTTAAACATGCCACTGCATGAGGTTTTTTTTTTTTTTTAATTTATGTTATTTATTTATTTTGAGAGACAGAGAGAAAGAGAGAGAGTGTGTATGCATGTGAGCAGGGGAGGGACACAGAGAGAAAAATCCTAGGCAGGCTTTGCACTGTCAGCACAGAGCCTGATGTGTGGCTCGATCCCACAAACCATGAGGTCATGACCTGAGCTGAAATCAAGAGTCAGATGTTTAACTGACCGAGCCACCCAAGCACCCCAACACTGTCCAATTATAATACCACGTAGAGTTGTTTGTTGTCTCATCAAGAGATGTATGTGTTTCATATATGACTGGTCTTGGCTCTTAGCTCTCAAATATTTTCCACAACTGATGAATTTACTAGTTAACTAGTAAAGAACAATTAGCCATACATAATACATGGGGTGCCAGTTTCTTCACAGACTAGTTGCACCCAAAGAATCTGGTCCTGAGCAGAGCTGAGACACCAAATTGAAGGACACTAAAATAGAATTTTCTGGTGAGATCCTACTGAAGTGCAGTTTAGCATCCCTCCACACCACTACCAAAAGCCCAAGGCAAACACGAGACTTTCAGAAGCGACTATCTGTGGAATCCAAAATGGTGGGTAGTGAACGCTGCAGCTCCCAGTTTTCACATTCATGCCACACTTGACAACGGGGAGGGTGACAGGAATAAAAACCCGTGACATATGTCACTTTTTGTCCTAGAAAGCCAAAAATAAAACCAGGTTCCCTAAAATATATTCTTATTTAGTGAAAGAAAGAGAGGGCAATTTATTTAATCCAATGAAATGCCAAAGATTGATGTTTACCTTCAAGTGACCCACAAAAGGATGTAAAATGTTAGGAAAGGTTGTAAAGGTTTTTATTAATGCCAATACTTTTAACCTCTCTCATGACTCATTTTCTCCATGCTCGGTTACCCTACCATAAGATGATGATATGGTAATATCAGGAACAAGTAGGGGTTCCATTATATTATAAAAGCAACTGGCTCACTGAAGAAATCTCTTGTCAATTTAATAAAAACGTTAAAAAGCTTTAACTCTAGTGGATTCTCTGAACTCAGATTTTATGGAGCGATTCCGATTTCAAATACTCTATACCACCTCCAGACTGTGTTCCAAGACTTTGTTTTGGAATGTGCTTGATGTCCTGAACACCTCCCAGTCTCCCTCAAATTGAAAAACCACAGACTAAACTAGTTCAAACTGAAGTAAAACCTCTTATGAAACACCAAGCTTATATGGTTTTGCTGTGCAAGCAGACATGAGTAGGACCTTCCACATGAGTAGGAAGAAAAACATGTGAAATTAAAAAAAAAAACCATGAAGCATATACGCACAAGAGTCCGTGCACACACCTACAAGTGCACACGCACACATTCTTCTGCTGAGGAGTCAGAATCACTCGCTCATTTACGGTGTGGCTGTCATGTCCATGAGACAAGCAAAAGAACTGGTTTCTTCAACACATTTTTTCTCGGTACACATGGAATATGTGAGCAATAGCACAAAGAATTATATAATAAGTGGCAAAAAGTATTTGGACAGTTCTGTAGGAGAGCAGAAAGAGGTGAATTCTGGGAGTAATAGTTTGCAGTCAGGGAAGAGATGGGTCTGGATTCTACAGGTGGTCTGTGGTTGAAAGTGGCGGGGAATTCACAAAGATTGACAGACGGAATGGGTTCGTAGGCCAATGTGTGAGTTGGGCACATTGTCCTGGAAGTAGAGGGAAGCCAGTGGAAGGTTGTAGCACGAGGAGACTGAGGAATCAGGAAAAGTAGATCCAAATCTGGCTGTAAGAATGATCATTTCCTTATTTCCACAGCTGAAATACTCAAATGCTGACCATTTGCAAGTCAGCCCAGATTCAGTTTGCCTAAGTTTGGGCAGAGCCTTTTCAAAAGGGCTTCTCATAGATTCATTTAAAAAAAAATTAGCTTTTGAGTTTAGAAAGAGAAATCTTTTTTTTTTTTTTTTAAGTTCCCCTATTCGTTTACCAACTCTTCATTTCTATTTGGAGTCTTTCCTCCCCTCAACCTTCTTTCTTCACTTGAAATTTGTCTTTTAGTCTTGGCATGTTTTCTACTCTGCCATTTCTCTTTTCTTCTATAACTCAAGGATTTTTCTTCCACAGACACCCTCTTTAAAATGTTCCTGTCTCCTCTTGGTAGGTTCTCCTTCCAAAATATACATATATAAATATAGCATATACGTAAATATAAAATTTGTGCTTAAATTGTGACTATTCATTTATTTCACTCCAACTGAGAATAGAAGCCAATAACATTTCAGCTTTTCCAATGCTAGTTACATAATATAATAAAAAGCAACCGCAAATCTGCTTCTCAACTTGTCACATATCCTTCAACTTGGGAGGATTCCTTTCACTTCATCTTCCCTTTTGTGCAGGCTCCCTGGCTTCTCTACTGACTGTATTTACAACATCCGGAGTTTCTGAACCAAAAATTGAGACTCATGGTCTGACAACTGGACAGAACATTTGAAAGCACAGGTGTTACTGGGGCATGTGGTTTCTCTGCTGAAACCTCACCCTTTCCCTCCTTTAAATATTTTTCTTTGCTTGAGAGGCCAGATGATCTAGTTATCTGGAAACAGAACCAAGACTAGTAGGTGCTTGACTTATTGTTTTACTACACAACATTTGCCAGAACATCTATTTTCCGGGGTGGGGGGGGGGTACAGAGAAATGTGTGCATCTTTGTGTGGGCAGGCAGAGACACGCCCACTTGGAAAGGCATCCTCCCTGGAAGTGGGAGGGAACAGGACCTGCGGGTGCCCTCCTCCTGGGGGCAGATGTCAGCTAATAGCTACCCACAGCGTGTGGGAGCACTCACCCTGCACCAAAGCCATCAGAGACAAGCTCCGGGCCTTGCTTGCTTGTAAGTACCCACTTGTAGGGCTGTGGGGCCGAGGGAGGGAGGAGAGTGTTTACCAACTGTTAGGGATTGCAAAGCTTGGCGGATAAAGCTCTCAATCACTTAAGAAATGACCCAAAAAAGGAGGGAGAAAACAGGCTATTTCTAAAAATTTAATTGTCCATTTATTTACTTAAATGGGGTGCAAAAGCCAAACATTTAGAGTAAGCTGCTGTCGAGGAGGTCTTATCAGCTATTGGCTTTGCAGGTGATGGTTCCCCTGGGAAGGCAGAGTGTAAGCTACTTGCTGAGGACTGCCGGGAGACAAGTCGGTTGAGATGTGCTCCATGGTCCTCTGCGTGGGCCAGCTCCTCCTGCTGAAAACAGCTAAGTCTGCTGGAATTCTTGGAATCTCAACCCCAGAGGGACCTCGCTAGGGGCAAACCGATCTCACCTTGGGAACTTTATCACCCAGCGTTTGGACTGCTTGTTCCAACAGTTCTTAGGAAGTGTGCCTTTCACACCAGCATCTCTCTGTGCTTGCTTCTGCCTACACTGAGGAAGACAAGTGCTGCCCCAGCCCTGGGGTTCCCGAGCAGCCTGAGGGTTCAGAACCTCCAAAACCCACATGTAGACCTCCGGGAGCATAGAAACATTGGAAGCAGCCAGGAGGACAATCAGGAGAAAACCTAACATTTTCAATATTCAAAAACCACTCGTGGAGGTGGTTGATGTAGAGAACCCTGAATTCACTGAAGAACTTTGTAATTTCTGGACTAATCTGTGTTGTCGTTCTGGTGTACACAAGGAGGGATCAATACATATCTGGGGCCTGGAGGGAATGTACCTGGGGGCCTCGGAGGCCATTTTGTGTGGCTGTGACTCACCCTGACTCTCCCGTGAAGCGGAAAGGAGAAAACATCACACCAGGTGTGGCCAGCCTTTGGCCATTGTGGTGAATCCCCAAGAGTTACTGCAGTCCCTTCCCAATTACTCATTTTTGCCTTAGCTGTGGTTCAGCCAAGACTTCTGGCTCAAGGAAAGCTGTTAAAAGACGAGACAGGATGAGGCGGGAAGAGGAGGAAGAAGAGGGAACCAGGATGAAGGCAAAAGGAGACCTTGAGATGAAGGAGGAAGAGGCAATCAGTGAGAAGGGAGAACCGGTTGGCCCTTTCGCGAGCGCCATGCCCACCTCTCTGCCGCACAACAAGGGGTCCCGGTTTTCCGAGGTTTGGGAATATTTCCACCTGGCCCCTGTTCGTGCTGGCCACCACCCCAACCAATATGCCACCTGCCGCCTGTGTGGCAGGCAGGTGAGCCGCGGCCCGGGGGTTAACGTGGGCACCACAGCCTTGTGGAAACATCTGAAGAGCATGCATAGAGAGGAGCTGGAGAAGACTGGCCATGGTCAGGTGGGGCAGCGCAAGGACTCCAGGTCCCAGGGGCCCCAGCTCCCCATGGGTATCGAGGGCGAATGGGCCCGGCTCCTGGAGCAGCTGGGGACCCTGGCTTTGTGGGCCAGCCAAAGGGAAAAGGAGGTGCTTAGGAGGGAGAGGGCAGTGGAATGGCGGGAGAGAGCAGTGGAAAGGAGAGAGCGAGCCCTGGAGGAGGTAGAAAGGGCCATCCTGGAGATGAAGTGGAAGGTGAGAGCTGAGAAGGAAGCCTGTCGGAGGGAGCAAGAGCAGCCTGCAGCAGCTCATCCTTTCCATTTTGTTTAAATCAGCCTGGGAGGTATCTATTCTGAAGACACAGACTCCCAGCAAAGAGCCACTTTAGCTTAAATATAAAGTATTTTGTCTTTAAGAGAAAGAGTGCATAATAGGAGTTAATCTCAGCAGTTCTGAATTGACCAAATACTTACCTACAGGGCCCCTGAAGGCTGTCCTGATCAAAACCTCAAAATGTATTAACTGAAGATCGCTGTTGTTTTGCCACCATGGGTCTGTGAGTTTGGGTGCAGAATGTACCATACTGTCAGTGCTGATGAGTGAAAATAATGGGATTTATGCCTAGCACTTGGTTCGCGGAGCTGAGGGTTCTGATAGTTGAGGTTGGCCAGGTAGCTGGAATGTACCTATGTGACCAGCTCATTCTGAGGGACTCTGCCATGAGCAGAGTTGAGGCTTCCTGGGGCTGAGGCCTTTGCACACATACTGGTGGTGATTTGAGAACTGGGTACAGGGCTTGTTCTGTGGGGCCCAGCTGTGGAAGCACATAGAAGCTTGAGCCTGAGTTCTCGGGACCCATCCGATATAGGTCTTTTCTGCCACTGGTGCTGTGTTGTGTCATCTGCTTACATTAAAGCTGTGTCACCAGCAGAACTGTCTGAGTCCTGTCTTTGCAACAATGTAACACGTACGTAATTAACGTATAATCAGCACAGAGAGAATTAAAGACTTTTCAGCTCACTCAAAAGAAACGTTAAGAATAGAGGATGTAAAAACTTATTCATAAATATTTAAAAATATAATCTAATTTCATATTAAGGTCTGTTAAAGAGGGAGATCATGAGGAAGAGAGGAGAGAAACTCAGAAAGGAAAAAAGAAAGGTGGAGAGAGGCGGTGAGTAAGGAGAAATAAAAAACAGAGGCAGAAAACCAAAAAAGAAAGAAAAAGGGACAGAGAAGAAGTGTGACATGGCAGAAGAGAGACAGATCCCTCCTCAAAAATTCACCATGGAAAGATGAGAGACGAAGACTATCTGGGAGACTGAAGGGCAGAGAACATTTTCTGAGGTTCTGAGGTCAATTTTAATGAGTTAAATTGCTTTAGTTTTGTTCCCACAGACCACCCATTCATTTGAACAGTAGGTTTTGGATTTTATTCCTGCCTCTGAGATGCCGGTTACAGGCCAACTGTTCCCTGACTTTTTAAAAAAAAAAACTGTGCATTTTGGGGGTGTCTGGGTGACTTAGTCGGTTAGGTGTCCAACTTCAGTTCAGGGCATGAGCTCACAGTTTGTGAGTTCAAGCCCTGCGTTGTTCTCTGTGCTGACAGCTCAGAACCTAGAGCCTGCTTCACATTCTGTGTCTCCCTCTTTGCCCCTCCCCCACTGGTGGGAGCACGCGCATGTGCTCTCTCCCAAAAATAAATAAACATAAAACATTTTAAAAAAATAAAAAAAAAAACTGTTCATTTTTAAATACTCAGAGATGCTTTGAAAAAAGGGAACCTACCAGTCCATAAGGAAAGAACAATCTATTGAGGGTATGCCTACTATGGTTACTCAGGGATAGATTAAACCAAAGTGGCAATGACTGTGGCCTTTGGGTTGGAGCTGACTTTTAGTTTGGATGATTCCTCTAGAACCTTTTTTTTTTTTTTTTTTTTTTTTTTTTTTTTTTTTTTTTTTTTTTTTTTTTTTTTACTACTGGGTTGGAGGTGGAGTGAGGGATGGTGGGAGCTGGGGAGACAAGAGCTAATAAAGACAGTTTCTCATTATCTTGTAGATAGATCCAAGCACTTAATGGGCAATGGCCTCCCAGAAAGTGGACAAGATCCTGGTGTCGTAATGGGGTCTTGTTTCCCTCTGTCCTCACCTGTGTGGCTCCCTCTTACTGCTTGCTCATTCTTAGACTGTCAGCAGCTCTAACACCCAGATCTGTTTTCCCTGTGAGCTGTTTGTGGAACAAGCACAAGTCCAAACATAGCTTGTGAAAATCCCAGACTGTACTGTAGGCTTGTAATCTCCTTATTTTTTTCTAGAAACTTGCCTGATATTAAAGGTTCACTTACCATATGGTTTTCTAAAGGGATGTGGTGCCATTTTTAGGGTCCTCTCCAGCTAAGGTAAAAACTCAGGGACTCTCACCTTCTAAATGATGATGAGGGCCACTGAGAGTCCCATGACTGGACATTGGGAATCAGAGCCTTATTGTTCCATAAGATTCCAGGAAGGAAGGAAGAAAGGGAGGAAGGAAGGAAGGAAGAAAGGAAGGAAGGAAGGAAGGAAGGAAGGAAGGAAGGAAGGAAGGAAAAAGAGAGAGAGAGGAAGGAAGGTAGGAAGGAAGGAAGGAAGGAAAAGAAGAAGGAAAGAAAGAAAGAAAGAAAGAAAGAAAGAAAGAAAGAAAGGAAGGAAGAAAGAAAAGAAAAGAAGGGAGGGAGGTCAGAGGGAAGGAGGGAGAGGAAGAAGCTCTAATACCTAATCTTAAACACACATACACCCATACATTTGAAATGAAGCTTAAGAAGGTCAAAGAATCCACAGATTCAGGCTTTGCAAAACCACAATTAAATAAAGAGCAACAATCAAAATCTGCAAACAGACACCAGAACCATCCTGCCGAATGGTAATGTGTGTTTTTAGATTATGGTGTCTGTTTTACATGGCTCTTATGATTTTCACTTCTCTTCCTTTTCAGGCATTTTAACCCCAGCTACTTTTGTTTCCTATCTTTCATGTTAGGTAGTTCTCTTTATACATTTTTTCACTTAACTTTTGTCAAACATAATAAAGGTAGAGAGTGATGAGGACAAGACCCATGGAGATGAAGGGGTTAAAGCAGAAAGCCCGGGTATAAAAGAGAGACATATGTGGTTCATGGAAAGACCGAACTGTTGAATAAACTCTGGGGTTTTCATGTATCTCTCTTGTGCCTTCTTTTGCTACATCATCAGAGTAGGCTATTCAGGGCCAGGGTCTGTGGGCTGAGGGCTCTTTGGGCCGGCATCTTTTATTCGAATACTGTGTCTGTTACAAGAAGGGGCCCTGAGGTTTCAGCTAAAGACTCCTTTTCCATCGCAGCTGAGGAGGCGAGGCTGCATGCCATGCTGGCGCCCTGGTGAAGCCTTGCCCCCAGAATGCACAAGAATATGACATCCACAGGAGTAATACTCTCTTTGGATATTGCTGGCATGTCTAAACCTGAGAAGTGTCATGGTTAGAATAATTTGGGAGCTTTTTGATTTTTCAGGAAAACCAAATTAACCATAAACTTCATTGCTCTAGTAAGGCTGGAAAACATAACTCATAACTGACCAAATCCCTATTACTTTAACTCCAAGGGCTGCTGGTGGAGTGAATATGTAGTACATAGTAGGCATGCAATAAATGCAGGTTGAATTGGTTAATCTCTAAGAAATGAAGGGTAGGGCTGGAAGTTACCATACCCAATACTTATGGTTGCCAGATGGTAGGTACTTTACATGTGTTCTCTCATTTGATCTTTATATCACTCTTGGGAGGTTGAGATCGTTGTCCATGTTCACTGATGAGGAAGCTAAGGAACTGAGGTCCCAGGGGTCAGAGTTAATAAGCGATAGGGGAGAATTCAGACCCAGGTCTATCAGATTCCACAATCTATGTTCTGTTTTTTCATTATCACATACTGTCTCCCAAAATCAATCACATAGGAGATTTATGAATATATCTTCAGATGAAACAGTGGATGAAAGGGAGCAGGTGAATGATAAATAATGGGAAGGAAAGAAATATTCCTGAGACATCTATTATGTTCAATATACTCCATTACTATGCATAAATTTAATTCCCCTAAGAGTCCCATGAAATATTAATCCTGATCCCAGTTTTAGATGACTTAGTTGAGACTCATGGAAGTTAACTATTGGATGAAGATATGTAGCCAAGAAATGGTTGAATTAGGATTTGATATTAGTTCTGTCTGCCACTGAATCATGGTCTCCTTTCATTATATCATCCTACCTGGTTATGGGCATGCTAAATTCTCATCCCAGCTCTGCCTTTTATTAGTGATTCAGCCAGTTGTGTAGACTCTTCAGGCCACCATTTCTCATCCGTAAAATTATGGATGCCCCACCTATTTCAGAGCACCACTCAATAAAAGCATGTGGAAGGACTTTGAAGAGTTAAGAAGCTATTAAAAATACAATGGGAACTCTAAGAATATTAGAGTAAGAAATTACTAACGTTTGGCAAAATGTTAAAAGATCCACAGACAAGCCGTGTCCTGTCGCTGGTTAAATAGAGTTGGTGAGAGATTATTTACTAATTCCCCAGGAAGGAAGGTTCTCTGACTGTCCTAGTCAGCACCTAGGTAAACATGGGTAAAGAAGAAGAAATGTGATAACATGTAAGAGAAAGTCCTTTTTTTTTTCAAACTGGAATTCTTGGATCCAATCTTACGGTTCTGTATCTTGATTGAGTCCTTATTACCTGTAAACATTGGCATAAAGAACCAACAGGAAAACCTTATAAGAAACAAAAATACCTGCCAAACGTGCCATTAGACTGTTAGTTTTATTCAAACTATTGAAATGATGTCCACTAATAAAATTGGAGTTAATTGTGGAAGAACAAAAAAACTTAAACTTTTTTTCATATACTCGGGACTATATAACAGCAATTATCTAAGAGACTAATACATAAAATCAACAAAAGACATAAATATATGCCCATCTAAAACCATCCCACAGAGTTTGAGCTATGATTTGTATATAGCTGTCAAATTAAATGACTTATATTTAGGATCATTTATAAATGATCTTATATATAGGATCAGAAATCATAAGTTATGTAGTGTTCTCAGGATTAGAAGAAATTAGAATAGGAGTATAATTTTCCCTCATCTCATGTAGCAGAAAATGTTTGAGAGTTCACAAGAATATTTATTTTATTTGGGATTTCGAAAAGCTTGAATTAAGTCAAAATGCCCCGAGACAACTGATTAACACACATAGTAGTAATAACAATAAAACAACAGTAATAATGTTTACTGAGCACCTAATATATGCCATAGAGCATACTAAGAACTTTTCATACGGTATTTCATTGAATTCTTAAGAACAACAACAATATGCAGATGTTCTTATCCTCTTCATATAGATAGAAAAAGATAGAAAAGGATGTGAAGTAATTTGCCCAAGGTCACAGCCAACAAGAAGAGCTGGCAAGTGAGCCCAGATCCCAGTGACTCAAGGCTGGGAATCACCTACAAGAAACTGAAGTCAAACAGCCCTACTCTACTTTCCTTTTTCACCTGCCCTTTCTCCTACCGCCTAAGAAATAGGCAGGGTTCTGAAGGAGTATAGAAGGGCACCTCTCCTCTTGTTACTTCAAACCAAAGACTATAAGAAGGGCCGGTACAGGAAGTGGATTAGAATGAATTCAATGCCAGCTGAACAAAAGCCTCATTCTAACACTAAGATTCACACTGCTTTCTGTTCTATTTTTCCTTCCCTAGCTTCTCCAATTTTCACTAAAGAGAAGTTTAAACTATTGAGATGATTCTTCCAGAAAATTTAAGGACTAAGGATTACAGATCGTATGTTCTGAGAGCCCTAAGTCAGAAAGTAAGGATTTCCACTTGGCTCTAGAATCAACTCAGCTTCTCTTCTTCCTCACTAGCAATTAATTGGCTGAGGGCCAAGGAATAAGGTCCTTTGAGAAGATATTCTGACAATGATGTAACCAAACACACCTTGGCATATTACACTATAGATTTTCAAAGGCTTTAATGTGACTCACCTCTCCCAAGACATCCGTAGAGTTATTTTCCATAATCATGGGGATTTCTGGCTTAGCTTAAAGGCAAATAAAACACAGTTAGTGTCACTGAATACCATCTTACCTGGCCACTAGTGTGTGTGTGTGTGTGTGTGTGTGTGTGTGTGTGTTCATCATTCATCAAATATTAATTCAACATCCACTATGTGCCCAGCTGTATGCTAAAGGCCTACGAAACAAAGGTGGACAAATCAACTTCACTGTCCTTAAGAAACTGACATTTTCATGGAAAATACAGATTTTAGAATACATCGGAGGATATTTCAGTGACTTTGACGTCCTGTTAGACTGTAAGTGCCCTGAAGCCTATTTTCATTCATCCCTCCATCTCTAGAACTTACCAGTGACCAGCACAAAGTAGACATTGAGTACATTACGTTGAACCAAAGTGGCTTCAAGTCAGTGCTTGAGTGCAGCAGACAAGGCTGTCTGTGAACCACTGGAGAAATAGTAAGCCTGTCACAGGCTGTCAGTGTCTGTTACATCTAGACGCATTTGCCTCTACTTGCTGAAGGCCTTTTGTTGGGCATACCTGTGACCCTCTCTTAGGGATTTATTGGGCCTATGGGAGCTCACTCAGTCCACAAGCAGGGCAAACTGGACGTCTAGTGAGCTAATGGCTATAACAGATAGGGAGTTTCTGGAGAATACCCCAACTTCCTTGCCTCTCCCAGAGTTCTGGGAGAACTCTGATGTGTATTGCCCCAGAGTTCCCTGGTGGGAATGAGCTCTGAGCCCACACTGGTAACTGGCATGTTCACGTATATTTCATTATCTTCCTTCCCTCCCTTGGCTTTCTGACTCCTCTTCTGATGCTTCCTTCCAATAAATTCCTTCAATAAATACTCCTCAAATAAATTAATTTAACTCAAATCCTTATCTCAGTGTTTTCTTTTGGGGAACCCAAACCAAGACAGACCCGAAAACACTAATGCGAGGAGGGGTATTCTGGCCATTCTGAGCTCATATCAGCAACAGATACCATTGGAATGAAGGACCTGAAAGAAAGAACAGTTACTGAAAGTTGCAGGGGTGCTACAGAGACATTCCTTTTGAGGCTCAGGACAATCAGGTTTAAGGGCTTAGAAGGGGGCAGGAGCGAACTTGGGATAGCAGGTGATGCCCTGCTAAGGAAAGTAAAGTCAAGAAGATCAGTGAGAGGAGAGCAAGAAGTAGCAAAGGAGCCAGGGAAGCTTCTGGCCCCTGCACTGTTAGAGAGGGAGGTGTTATTCAGGACGAAGAAATAAAGTGGATTTAGGGCAACCACGCTGCAGTGGGTCTGTGCTACACTTGGGTATTTATTTTGAAGTTTCAAGTTTTTATTTTTGGTTTGTCCTATTTGAGGAATCACCGAGGACTGCTGAGTGGTTTCTGAATAAGACATGTATTATACTTCCATGCCAGGGCCACTAGGATATATACTTCGTGGCACACACAAAGAGTCTAAGGACTGGATGAGCCAGGCCAAGCACAGCCTGGCTGGCCCATTTGCTAAAGGGGAAAGAGAAGAAGCAGGGAAAATCGAATGAACAGGCAGGCAGAATCTCCTATTTTTAAGCATCCACTGAGAGGAGATCAAAGAAGAAACAGAGACGTAGAGACAGAGAGGTGTAGACACAGACAGGGTGATAAGAGTAAGATGTGAAAGAGGAAAAAGCATTCTAGACTAAGACAGAGGTCTCTGCCACAGAGAGAGAGAGGGTGTGGTTTAAGTGTTGACAAGGCAGTTAGATCAAGTTGGGGTGCAATAACCCTTGGTCAAACCGGACATGGTTTGCCCAGCTTAGAATCGACACGTGTTTTCACATCCTGGAGAGCTGCCTTCATTGATTTGCCTAAAGTCAGGCCAGATGAGTCAGTTTTGTGTTTGTTCGAAGACAGTCACGCCCCAGTAAGTGAGCTGACAGCGATATCGATGAAAGAAATGAACAGGCTTTCCCACCTCTTCACAGAGCACTGTTCAGGCTCCATAAGCAACATGATCATTAGGGGTGATCAGTTATCTCCTAGCCCATCCACAAGGAGAGATGGAAAGAGAGGGAGGGAAGGAAAGGGAGCCAGAGAGAGAGGGAGACATAAGAACTACAAGAGACTTCCAACTACATAAATCTCGGCTGTAGCTGCCTCCATCTTTACGAACTACAGTCTGTGTATTTCCCTCAAAATACTGAATTCTTGGGGCGCCTGGGTGGCGCAGTCGGTTAAGCGTCCAACTTCAGCCAGGTCACGATCTCGCGGTCCTGGAGTTCAAGCCCCGCGTCAGGCTCTGGGCTGATGGCTCGGAGCCTGGAGCCTGTTTCCGATTCTGTGTCTCCCTCTCTCTCTGCCCCTCCCCCGTTCATGCTCTGTCTCTCTCTGTCCCGAAAATAAATAAACGTTGAAAAAAAAATTAAAAAAAAAAATACTGAATTCTCTGATCTCTATTAATAATGCCGTAAGATTCTAAGTGAAAACAAAGATTATTCATTTGTCTGGTCATTCAGAGAACTGAGGGAAAATCTAGTAGCTGGTGTGCTCAGGTTTTGTGAGGTTATTTTCTCTCCAGTTCCCTCATTTGCAAAAACAATTAATGGCTCATCCACATCACTGCTTTTCTCTTTGCCTTCACTTAAAAACGACTTGGTAAAAAAACACAGTTCTTGGGGACAAAGATGAAAACGATCCAAAGCCAGGGGTTTGGATTTTATATTTACTAATATTGCCTGGCCTCACTGAGCAAAATAGAATTTTCACATTTTCTGCAAATTTGCTCCCTGCAGAGCCTGTGAAAACTGAGTGGGCCATCGTGGATATTTCCGCTCCACACTTCAGTGGATGCAGGGACAGAGGGCCATCCTGCAGGCTCCTTCACTGAGGAGCTGGCCCTGCTGGGGGTGGGGGGACTCCTGCAGTTTCTCTGGAGCTGTGTTTATCGTTTTCCTTTTCTCACACTGTCCCTATTCTGCCTCACTCCAGCAAGCAACCAAGACAATTAGACAACTCGGTAATTAGATTTTGGCAGTTATAATTAAAGAGATTCCCAGTATTCTCAGGAAACATTAAAGTTGTAAATAAGGAGTAGTCACCAGGAGCCTGGCCACTCTATGGCTTTCAGTGTGATTTTATTCTATTAACTCAATCCTCATTCTTTAACTCCCTACCCTTATCCTCACCCCTAACGTGAATGCCAGTATCAAGGTCAACAGAGCTCTAGAATAGCTACCCTGCGGGGCTGCTCTCCAGAGACCAGGCCCCTTTCTCTGTAGGAGAGAACAAGGCAGGAAAAATGGACAGGAGGACGTCAGGTAGTCCGGAGAACAGAAGCTCTTACCAAAAACCTTGACTGTGGTGGAGCTCCTCAAGGTTTTACCAGGTCTGACCATAACGTGGCAGGAGAACTTCCGGCCATCATCGTGGATTTGGATTGGAGAGAGGCAGAGTTTATAGTCTGTACCTAGCTTGACTCTGTCTTTAAATAGTGTGGAGTTGCTGATGGAGTGACCTTGGGTGATACATGCTTCCTGAGTTCCATTATCTTCCTGCTGAAAGAAATATTCCCGGTTACTCGGCACTCAATCGCGTCAGCTCCAGACTAGATGTTCGCATGCATTCATTCATTTATATCTTGTAAAAAATACAGGTGATGGATGAAGAAGTGAAATTAAGAGATATTTGCTATGTTACTAGAGAAAAGATCATTACATGACTTTCAATGACTAGAGTCACCCTCTCCTAACAAGAATAGAAACTTGATGTTCCTCTGACTAGAACTTCCCCTTCATAACTTTCCATAAGGTGCGTATCAGCAGTGGGATTTGGAGGGCACAGCACTGGGGGCTAATGAAAGATCATAATTCTTATTTCAAGTTCAAGAATCTATTTTTTTAAGTTTATTTTGAGAGAGAAAGCACACAGGTGGGAAAGGGACAGAGAGAGAGAGAGAGAGAGAGAGAGAGAGAGAGAGAGAATCCCAAGCAGGCTTTGCACTGCTAGTGCAGAGTCTGATGTGGGGTTTGAACACATAAACCGTGAGATCATGACCTGAGCTGAAGTCAAGAGCCGGACGATTAACTGACTGAACCACCCAGGTGCCCCAAAGTTCAAGAATCCTAATGCTAAGATGTGCTGTATCCGTTTTGCTAATTAAATCTTCATCTGGACCGGATGATTATGGTTGTCCTCCCTTCCACCTTTCCTTTGGAAAAGGTCTCATTCTAGCTCGCCGTGGGGCCAGGACCAGGATGAAGTAAAGAGGCTCTTAGCACTCACTCTCAGGGCCCTATCAGTGCAGGGTGGGTATCTGAAAGTAAGTGCCTTCTTAAATTTTGTGCCCTGGGCACTTTCTTGCCTCCTTCCCTCTGACTAGTCATGGTCCTTGCCCTTCTCTTTTTTATTTCTATGCTACCTTCATAGAGGACACATAAAGGGTAGACTCTAAATATTAATCAAAATTCCACAAATCAGAGTTTATTTGAAGCACTTGATTCTTCTATTCCATATCGGTTCTTGCATTTATGAAGGAAAGCTCCTATTCTTCTTGCCATACCCAGAATTTCCATGGACAAGATCGCTGGGCAATCATCGTGCTGGTCAGTGTCGGTAAGTGTGCTAAGGGCTGGTGACGAGGGGACTCTTGAGGGGCACAAGGGTAGAGGAAGGGTTATGATCTCATTCTTCTATAAATAACTGAATATTCTCAGTTGAGTTGCTTTGAAAACATTCTGACACACCAAGTTTCTCCTCTGCAGATTCTACCTCAGTTGTTCTGGGATGAAACTCAGGCTGTAACATTTTTTAAAAGGTCCTCATGGGGCGCCTGGGTGGCTTGGTCGGTTAAGCGTCCGACTTCGGCTCAGGTCATGATCTCACGGTCCGTGAGTTCGAGCCACACGTCGGGCTCTGTGCTGACAGCTCAGAGCTTGGAGCCTGTTTCAGATTCTGTGTCTCCCTCTCTCTCTGCTCCTCCCCTGTTCATGCTCTGTCTCTCTCTGTCTCAAAAATAAATAAATGTTTAAAAAAAAAATTATAAAAAAAAAAAATCCTCAAAGGATCCAGGTCTGAGAACCACTGGTCTAACTCTAAACAACAGATTAATCAATCATTATGTGCAGAGATCAGGGGGAAACGGAGAGAACTGAGATGAACAGCAATGCATTTGGTGGAGAAGTCACGAAATAATGAAAACAAAGATCCGTCCCTTGGAACCTCTGGTTTAAATCTGTCAAAAAAAACCCCCACCACTATACATATTCAGAGTAGAAGAAACAGAAGCTAGGAGAGTTAGAGAATTCAAGTATGATCTGGGAGCAGAAACAGCGGAAACATGAAGGCAGACTTTCTTTAAATAGTTTATATAAATATTTCCAGAATATACTTAGTAGAAACTCTTACGTAAGACACCATTCTTTAGGTGACATGGGCTAAGACTGCTATCAGCTTTACATACAGATACATAGACAGTACTGTTTGTAAACAGTGATGCCCTGCTCGAGACTTACCCTGAAACAATGTGCATACCTTTGACCCCACAATAAGAAAGGATCTAGGAGTCTGTGCTACTATCTTCCTAGTGAAGAAGCATATAGAAAATTAAAAGGAGACAGCTTACATTCTGGAGACAGGGCCCAAAAAGGAGCCCTCTGCATTGGGTGGTGACAGAAGAAAATGGACACGGTTCACTCAATGGCTGCAGATCTGGAGGCCAATAATTAAGGAAGCAGGCTCCCCCTGCAGGTCTGCACACTGAGCTAACTTCTATAGCTCTTGCTTCACTCACAGGTTCTCTTTTTGTGAGGATCTTCAGAGCTCAAAATGCTTTTTGGCCACTTAGTAAATGTCTCCCCATTGGAAACATTTCCATCTGTTACTTTGTAGTGGGAAGAAAGGCAGTCAGAAGCTGAGGTTGGAAACTCGGGAGACAAAAGCTGTTTTTCCATTATTGTGTTGCTGGGTGTGGCCGGCCAGGGTAGTTTAACTGCTGGAGGAGTTATAAAGGGGGCCCAGGCAAGAACCTGCAGGGAATGGCTGCCTTCACCCAGCAAATGAGAGAGGAGGTGAGGGAAAAAGGAGCCCAGGCAGACAATGAAATGTCTGGAGCTGGAAGAGGGGAAACTAATACTAATAATATGCTACAGCCACTATTAAAGTTTTATATTCTTATTAATCATAGCTTAAATTTATTTAGCACACACTATGCTTTAGACATTGTGCAAAGTTCTTTCGAGTCTTTTTTTTTTTTTTTTGATGTTTATTTTGGAGAGAGAGAGAGATAGAGCCCAAGCAGGGGAGGGGCAAAGAGAAAGGGAGACAAAGAATCCGAAGCAGGCTCCAGGCTCTGATCTGTCAGCACAGAGCCTGATGTGGGGCTCCAACTCGCAAACGGTGAGATCATGACCTGAGCTGAAGTCGGACGCTTAACCGACTGAGCGACCCAGGTGCCCCTTTTGAGTCTTATTTATTCCTATGACAATCTGGAATAAACTAAGGTTGAGTAATTTGCTCAAAGGTCAAACAAAGCAAGAAGGTGCTTAAGTCAGGGCATCAAAAAGCAGAGATGCCTAGGTCCAGGGAAGTTAAATCTCAGAGACAACACGTACTAATAAAAGCCAAACAATCACAAAACAATAAAAAGAACTTTTTGTTTTGTTTTGTTTTTTCGTTTCTGAGTATGTGGAATGAAAAATTTAAAAGAAATTCCGGGAAGCCAGAGGCCTTTATATACATTGTAGATTACAGAGGTGTGGACAATTTGTTGAGTGAAGAAGCTGTTTCATAATATAGTGATCTGCCTTTGGTGATAGGGGTCAGAGAGTATACCTCTGATCTTACCTAATAATGATCTTGGGTAACCTTGTCTGCTGAAAACATACTGGTAAGAGGTCTTGTACAGAATCTTTATTCTTGCCTGGTTTTTTTTTTTTTTCCTTCTTTTCTTGTTTTTCAAAGAAAAAAAATGGATAATGTGTAAAGGTGTTTTTTGTTTGTTTGTTTGTTTGTTT